TATATATTTATTTTTTTTTTTATACCAAGTTGTTAATTTAATCAAAGACTGACTGGAGCTGGTGGAGTTTGTTTCAACTGCAAAATAATTGAACGCATTCGGGAAACATCTTTTGAAGTGCGGGAAGATTTGGGATTAAAATCGCAAAGTTTAGCAATACGTTCCCATTCAGTTCCTGGTTCCACTTCATCAGCTTCTGCTACAAATTGTTTTTCTGCGTTCCTAGAGATAAATCCATTATGTTATATAAACTATAACATATAAAAAAAGTGCGACGATACTCAAACATTAAATGCAGTAATAACATTGCAGTATATGTATTGAATAATTCTATTTCCGTTTCATATATATAACATATGTAGCAATGCAATGTTAAAAATTTTTTTAAGCAATTTTTATTTTAATATTATAATGACTTATAAATGATAATTATAAATGACTTTAACAATGTATACATATATGTATACTTTTACTATTTCTTTTTATATTATTTTATAAAATAGAATTTACGTTATTTCATAATTTATATAATAAAAAATAAAGATATTTTAGTATTTATTTTTATAAATATGATTTAAAAATAACTAACAAGATGAAATGTTAATATTGTCTATATATTAAAATATCAAGATCTAATTATATTTTATTGAATCATATAATTAGATAGATAGAAATTAAAAATTTTAATATAACTTATATGTTTATATTTATTTAAATATTATTAATGACTTTAATATTATTAATGATTATTAATACAATAGTTAAAACTTTAATTATTGTAATACTTATGCTCATAAATATAATGATATAAATAAAATATTATGATAGTTTAATACATATTTTTTTAATTATTTTTAATAGAAATAAATGAAAATATTCTAATGGAAATAAATACATGACTTTTGTATAATATGATTAGAAACATTGAAATTTCAAGTATAATTGCATCAAGCACATAATATACAAATTGTTATATAAAAAAGCGATTGTTACTAACATATGGAAATATTTAATTTCTAATATTCTGCAAATTGCCTTATAAGCTGCTTAAGCAAGCTATATTATACAGCAATGCAATGCAATTATACATGCAAAGAAATATAGTGTAACTTACTTGGCTGATTCCCTAAGAAGCAGAATGAAAATAATATAATTGTATGTAGTACATATTTTAAATAAAATATTTATAATTTTATACAGAATAAAACTCTTTTAATTGCATCTACAAATATGCGATTAAAAGTTATAATTTTAAAAAACATTAAAAAATGTTATATAAAATAAAACTGAATAGTGTAGCAATTTTAAATATTACCTGTTCGTAGTTTTTGTTTTACTAATTGCTTCTGCATGATGTTTATACCATTCTTCCAATTCTTTTCTTGCAGCTTCTCTCCATTCTTCTTTTTTCTTTTCTTCTTCTGCATCTAAGTGTATTGCATATAATAATACTGTGTAAATATTTTGAAATACATATCAATTTATTATTATATAACTTTATTATTACATATAAATTAACATTTTTTGTGTATCTTTATAATATAAATATTAAATATATTATAAAGATCTTTTACCTTTTTCTTCTAATCTAGCTTTTTGTTCTTCTCTCCATTTTCGTATTTTCTCAGGTTCTTCTTTTATTGGGAGAGGCTTGGATACAGTTTCTAGAAATAATTTTTTTTTAAATCTATATATAATGTTTCATAATAAGGCAGATGATTTAAAATAAGATAATACAATATAATTTACCTATTATTGAAGATGCTTGTGTTTCAGGAAGTTGTCCAATAGCATCTATTATCTCAAAACTGCCTTCAGCATCACCACCTGGACCAACTTAAATTTCCAAAATTTCATATTATTAAAATTTATATTTAAATTATAAAATTTTTAAATAAAAATGTAATCTTAATTTATGATTTATAATTACATATTATTATATGAGAATAAGAATCATTTATTAATTTTGATATATTCATAGTACTATTAGTAATATAAACAAAATTTTTGAAACCAAGCAACATAAAAGATTACAATTTTTTTTCCCTATCTTCAAAAAAAATAATAACTATTATTATTTATATAAATTGAATATTATAATTTTATATAAATATTAAAAAATAATATGATTAATATAATTATAATTACCATCTGTATTAGGTGCTGTCGCAGGAGCAGACATAGAAACTGATGGAATTTCATTCTCTAATCCTGCCAATTGATCCTGTTCCCTTGCTACAAATTCTGCAACTGGATCTACTTCTTCATTGACAAAGTTATCACCAAATGCATCCATGATATCTAATAAAATTATCAATATGAATTGACAAAGTTTTAAACAAATTAATATTTTTATGCACAAAATATATAATAAAGAAAAACAAATTATACTATTCTGAAAATTCTGTAAAAATTCTGAATGAATTATAATTTGTTTATTCAATTTTAAAAAAAAGATAAATATATTACAATAATACAATTTTCTTTTATATTCAAACTGTAATATTAATATTTTTCAAATATTTATTTTTATTTTAATTTTACATATTTATAATTTAAATTAAAATATTATAAATGAATTTATTTATCAATCAAATAGTATAAATAAAAATAACCTAAAAATATGTATCTATTTATTTAAAATATAATTAGATTGTACAAGATATTAAAAATATTTAGATATATAATATGTAAGATGAAATACAAACATTTATTTAATAATAACAAATATTAAAAAAATATTGAATTAAAATTTTATACCTCAATAATATACGGAATGTATAACTTTTATCTTAGGAAACACCCACAACTATCTTTTCGTTAGATTTCTATATAATATCAACTGCAAATTGTCAACGTCAATACTAGTTTAGACTACGCACACATGCGCACAATTAAATGTAATGGAAAAGCAAAAGAAATCAGTATTACCAACTTTTTATAAATATTATAAAGAATATTTTCAAGAATGTTTTAATATTTGAGTATTTTGATGTATTAAAAAATATCATATACAAAATTAATAGCATATATTACTTTATTCTTAATATTAATAATAGTCTTTTACATTTTGTATTTTATATCATGTAATAGAAAATATATTTTATAAATATTCTATTATGAAATATTTATTTTAAAATTGAAAAGTATTTTAAAATCAATTAATATTATTGAACTATTATTGACTTCAGTTATAAATTTAAGGCATATTTTAAAGTACTTATTTTATTAATTTCTCATAATAATTTGAATTTATCATGTTTTTTTAAGAACACTATAAAATTATTATATATGTATTTCATTTTATTATATAATATAAATAATATAATTCAAAAATTCGATATTGCAATCGCAGAAAAATAACATTAAAAACAAATTTATATGTATATATATTTTTTAATATAAACATTATAGATAGTATATAGTGTATCAAACACTTTAATATTTTTATTTCAATATATTCTGCTCAGAGATCATGTCTAAAATTTTATATTCTTTTTAAAAAGATTAAAAAACATTAAAAAAATATTTTTTAAAAATATTTATATGAAAAATCAAATATTGAAATTAAATATTCTATATAAATCTAATTAGTTTTAAAATAAAAATTTAATATCTAAATATAAAATCTAAATATTTATAAAAAAAATTTTTTTTAAATAGCATGATCTATGAAATGTATATACAAATACTATTTTTTATAAATAAGTAAAAAAGAAAAATAAGTAAAAAAAAGCAACTAAAAAATTATTTTTAGTTAAATCATTTATAAAAATTTTATATCAATTTTATATGTATAAAAAATATGTAAATAAATAGCTATGCAAGAATTGTAAAATAGATAAATGTTGTAATTATTTTAATACATAGAAATATTTCCATCATAATGATGTATATTTTTAATACAATGTCAATAATAAATACAGTTATTATTCTTACACTTTCTATTATTTTATGACAGATCACTGGCAACAAAATTTAGGCATCATATATATAGAGCAAGTGTTCTGTTAACAATCATCTAAAAAATGCATATAAAAATACAATTCCTAAATAACATAATTTAGAGCTTCATTCGTTAATATAATGATGGAGCTCTAAAAACAGTTATTAAAATTTATCTACAACCTATAATAAGTATAGGTGGTAGTGGAATATGAAAAATAAAGCCAATATGTTTGCTTAAACTAAACATAGTGACTATATATGCAAATAGAAATTACTCGTACATTTCATTTGTGAAACAATAGCTCAGTCTTGCCCTAATCCCCTCCTTGTCTTACAAAACATGGGATTTATAGTGGGAGGTTCGTTATCTCCAAACATAAATTTTTAGATATTTTTATTTTTGTGCAATGCCTGTTGAATACTAGGCATGCTCCTCTTCATCTTCAGAAGTCAATGTGACATTATCAATACGTCGTGGTAATAATAATGCTACATGTCCATATCTAAATAAGAATATATTTGAGACTCAATAAAATATAAAAAAAAAAAATTTAAACATTAATATTTGAACTTACTTGCTGCTTTTATATTTTTCTTGTATAGCTTGTTGTCGAATATTTAATGCATTATAGAAAGTTTTATTTAAACACAAAATACATTCTTTGAGATCCTTTAAACTATATCCTGTTGATAATTCTAACTCATGTGGCCACATTTCTTCTAATAATGTATGTCGTGCAAGTGCTATTGCAGATGCAGCTAAATGACTAGGTAAGAATTGAAGATATGGATCTCCCTCAAGCATTGATAATTCACAGAGATACTATAGAATTTTTTATGAAAATTAATATATTATTTTATTATTTAAAAAAAAAAATATTATATACTTACCATTGCTAAAAATTTAATTTTTTCAGAAAGATTATTACTAATACAGAATTCCATAAGAAAGGTAAGAGGTGTTGGAACAGTTAGATCAAAAGATAGAACCCTTAATATTAAATGTTCCATACGTAACACATGTTTTTTTGGATATGTGTCATCTGTGATATATACAAATTCACCTACTTCAGGTGGATAAATTTCTTCATATTTTCTAAATTATTAAGATAATTATTTTCAATCAGTGGTTTTACTATTTTATTATATAATAACTGTAATAATAATTAATTAAATATATATTAAAAAAACTTACGCAGCAATGAACATAGCTGCTGTGCCTACAAGTTGTAATTTTGATTTTACAACACTCATGTATGATAGAAAGCGATCTATATATGAAACAGCTAAATAGAGTGTTTCAGTTTGTAATCTATATTCTTCAGCAACTTCTACAAGCCAATCCACTAATATTGACCTCATTGAATATGTTATATCAGATTGTTTTTTCATATATCCTGGTTTTGGTCTATGATGTGTCTAAAATAAAATTTTTTTAAATTATATTAATATTGATTATTTTAACTTAAAAAAAAAATTTTAAACAAATACATACTTCTGCAACACGTAAATAATTATATATGTCAGCTCTATATTCATCTACATCAAAAAAATTCATTCTCATTTCTTTAATAGATTTTCTTCTTTTTTGATGATTTTTCTTTGAGGAAGACAAATAAGAAATAGATTTTTCTAAAGACATTGGACTGCCTTGTGAAAAAGTTATTTCATTTTCCTTCTTTTGATTTATATCTTGAATTGCATTATAAAATGTTGGTAAATTTGAGACATTTATAGGATTTACTTCTAACCTTGGTTTTTCTCTTTCAAATGTAATATTTTCCTTTTCTCTCATTTCTTTCTTATCTTTTGTATCTCTAAGGGCAACAGAAGTTTCTTCTTCTAACTTATCTTCATAGATTTTAAATATAACTTCTTCCTTTTTTTCTTCATAAATTTTGAAAGCTTCAAAATGTGTAGGTATAATTGCTTTCGTTTTTTGGTATTTTTCATCCTTGTATATTTCCTACAAGAAATAAAATAAATTAATCATTAAAAAAATATAAATTTAAAATTTAAAAATTATTTTTTATGGTTATTTATTATATATAATAAAAATAACATTAAATTTTTTAATCTACAGAAACGCGGGAGAAAAAATAAAAAATGTATACATACTGATTTTGTATTACGATTACAATTATTATGAAGAACACCTAGAACTGCACGTTTCGTTGGTTGCAATGTTTGATTTTGAAGGGGCACATTAATATTTTCTTTGCCGCGACGAACATCGGAAATACGATTTTCTTGATCCTCATGTACTCGAATCGTGGCCATTATTTAGTTAAAAATTTTCTGCCAGTTTTTTATATATAAATGAATTCTTCTTTTTTTTCAAATTATTATTAATTTTTAATCACTATGCATGCCTTTTCCTTATTACAACGAAATATATTTACCACCCATACATGGCAGACAAATTTCGAAGCTCCAAGCAACTCAACAAACTTCAGTTGCCGTTTGATTTCAAACAAACGTAACTTTAACAGCTGGCGATACGTTAAAAGCGTTGCTCAAATAGACCAATGAGAAAAGAATATGTCTTACACATCGGAAATAGACCAATCAGATAGGTAATATATTAACTCATCTTCTTAAAATTATCCTTAAATATAGGTGCATATACAATAAAAATATTATTTGTTTAAAAATTATATATTTTTTAAATATAAAAATTTTTTATTTTATATTTTTTCAATAAAACTAGAAATTATTTTTAAGTATTTCATTATATAATATAATTATCTTAAATATATANTAACATATCTTTTTATTTAATTAACTTTTTTATAAATGACAATTGATTAAAAAATTAATAAGAGAAAAACATTAAAAAAATTTATTTAAATAAATAAAAAATGAAAATCATAAAAATATTATACTATATATAACAATTAAATAAATTATATTTTTATCTTTCATTCTTTTTTCTAAATTTAATAATATAAATTATAAATAATTTGTAAAAAATAAATATTAATGTTAAAATATTATGAATTACATTTAAAAAATTTTTTAAATTAAAAATAATAATAATATATAAATTTAGAATTATTTAATAGTTAAAAAAATACTTTTTATTATATAATACGATATTATATAAAGTATATAATGTATATATACATATTCTTTCTATATAATTTTTCCTTTTAATATTTAGAGTATTGAAATTATAAAGTCGTTTGTATAACTTAAAGTTTGTTGTTCATGACTATTGAGATCAAGCTTTTCGGTGCTGATTACTATTTGCAAGGTAAAAAGTTTATTTGCTTACAAGTTCGTAATGTTTTTACGATATTTGCAACAATTATTAATTCTATAATTGGTTTCAAATAAAAGTTCAATACGATAAAATTAAAAAATATATAATTTGAACATATATTCCATATTTCGCGTATGAACAGTGTATAAAGTTAAAGTTTTAACCTCATAAATAAGGCTTTGCATTTAACGAAATACTGATCGTTTACTACTTAATATCGTAAAAGTGATTTTAGAAGATTTGCATCGAAAATAACATGAGTCCGTTAAACCGAGGACCCTTGTTAGGGCCAAGAGTTCCACCTACTGGTGTGCGACCTCCACCACCTCCGAGATTTGGTGGTAGATTGCCACCTCCTGGTTTACCTCCAAGAATGCCACCACCTCCGATGAATCCAGTTTTTGGACCAATGCGACAAAGATTACCACCGCCACCGCGACCAGGTGGAGTAAATCGACCAAGTGGACCGATGCCATTATTTGGTCCACGAGTTAGAGCTATGGCTCCAATGGTTCCACCAATGGGCTTAAGAGGTGTTGGACCTAGAGGACCATTGATGAGGCCTTGGCATAGAAGAGCATTACCACCTCAAATTTTATCTCATATGAGACCAAGATTTTCTATAAGAAATGGCAATGTTAAAGGGAAAGCAATGAATAATGCAAAAAAAGTTAGTAAACTTGAAGTAAGTAATATTTTTAACTTTTTAATATTTATAAAATACAACTTGGATAATAATTCTATTGTTTTATTAGAATAATTATGTTAAATAATA